TATAAATATAAATATTACAAATGTGAGATAAAAAGTGAAAACAACCATAAAAAATATTATTAACATTTTAACAAATTAAAACTATATTCTAAGTGACGTCTCCCTAAAATTTAGGTTTTTGTTATTGCAGTCTAATTTTTGTTTACGTTAGTTTAGAAATAATATTTGTTAATATATATATAATATATATATATCTATATATGTACACTTTTTTTTAGCCATTGTTAGGGTGGAAAGTCAAATTAACCTTTAAAATTATATTTAAATATCTACTGCACTCGAGCTATACTTAAATTGATTTATATATAAGTAATTTTTAATTACATGCCTATTTTAAAATAGAAATAATTTTGATATTTGTCCAAGTAATTCTAACAACAGGAAAATATAGTTTCATACCATGTCCTAATTTTAAATGCTTTTATGTTATTTAATTGATTATATCGTACTATGCAACATATATGCTTGTGAGTTTGGTGCGTGCCACGTCATGGGCAAGTCAATTCCAACGGTAAGGATAAGCATCCTACGAGAGGATAATAATAACAACAGCACTTCCTTTACGAAAAAAACTAATAATAAAAGCACTTCTTAGCAACATAATAATAATAATAAAGTATAAAAAAAAAAGATAAAATACATTTTGTATCTCTCATTTTTTGAATTTAATTCCTACGTGGCCCTGTTACTGTTATTATTTTTGATACGTGAGATTTAAATATAGTTTCAAATCGATAATTGAAGTTTTAAAAGTGGCATATTCGCTATGATCAACAGATGTGCTAACTGTCATATCTCATTCTATTTTTTTTAATAAAGTGGTAAATTTGACTTTACTATAAAGTAATTAGGAATATATATAACATATAGATTTGACATAGCAACTACTTGAATTTCATAGACCATGATTACTTTTTAAAATTTTAAACTTAAAAAATATTTTCAAAACTCTAACCAAAATGTTAAAATCAAGAACTTTCTTGTAACGATATCCAGATTGAACTTACAACATCTTGATTTGAAGATATATGCCAATTACAATTGAGCTATGCTCGTTTTAACATCTTCATTCTGTTAGATCAACTAATGGTCGATTCAATTTAGAGACAAATTAAAAAAATCAAACTCAAATCTTATAGGGATGAATTGAAAACCAAATTCAACTCTCATAGACCAATTAAAAATTCAATTCAAACTTTAAGGACCAAGTATGTCACTTTTGATACTTGATAACCAAATAAAAATTGAATTTAAATCCTAAGACAAAAAATGATGGGGTTTTAAAGTCAGAGAACTAAATTAAAACAAAGTTTAAACGTTATGAACCAAAAATATAATTTTACCAAATAAATTATCATATCTTCTCGTCCTATTATGAATAATATTTACCTATAACCTTTTAGTAGAGACCAGGAGGGAGATTTTATTAATTAATACAGTCAAATTTGCAATATATGTCTACAAAATAAAATAAAATATCACATAATAAGGACAGTGTGCATACCCTGGTGTAGGGGTATAAAGGTGAAATGGACGCCAACTCCTGGATTATAAAAAAAATATATTAAATTGTAAACGGAAGAAGTAGGTAAGAATAATACAATAACATTACTTGCCACGTTTATATTTAGCTTTTTCCTCAAATGAAAATATAAAATAAAAAATAGTTGAAATACTAGTTTGGTGTATACAATTTGAGTTTTTGTTTTAATTATTAGTACTAGAAGAGGATTTAGAAGAAAAGTAATTCTTGTGGGTGAAAATTACTTGAAAGCAATTTCAACATGGTTTCGGTGCTGCATTGTATGCTTGTCACTTGATTCCCAAAGTTGACACAATTTCGAATTCAGGTGTGCACTCACCGAAACCGAATGAAATCGAAAAAACATGTCCATAGAAATTTGTTCAAAGTTTTTCATCGTATATCTCTTGAAGAATAAGACTCGATTTAGTTTTAAAAAGAAAAATAAAAAATATTTTACTTGAATTAATTAATTAAAACGTAACAAAATAGAATGAATTAATTAATTATAACGTTAAATAATTAATTCAATAATGTTTAAATAATTAAGTAAAACATAAATAAAGTATTTTCATTCAAAACTTTAAAATATAAGCAATATTATCTTTTTTTTAATATGCATTTTTTCTTTTGTCATTCCCCACATTAATTTTAATTCTAAAAGTTTCAATTTAGTCCATGAACTTTTAGTTCCTGTCTATGTTAATCATGTGATTTCAAATTGTTTGTTCTAGTAATTATATCTCCATTTTAGATATTGTATTTTTAAAATGACAATTTTGTTCGGTTAATTTTTTTTAAAATATTTTTTTTAGTAGAATATGTGGAGTGAGTGTTTGAATTCATGAACTTTTGGTGAGAGATAGATGACTTATGTTCAATTTGATTTTTTTTTAAACGTTGAATGAATCAATAACTCATTACACATATAATTAAAATTTCAGAACTTATAAAACACAATTTTAGAGGGACTAAATTTGTAATTTTGAAAGTTGGGTGTAATTTATAGGTACAACCAAAGATTTGGAAATGTTCTATTTCTAATCTTCACTCCAAAGATATGATCACATTTGGTGGTCCACCGTGTAACTGCCACCACTTATTTTAAAAAATTCAACTTTTCTTTTTGTTTGAATTTGAAAAAGAAAAAAGGCACTTCAGTTAAAATATTTAGTTTCATTTATTATTTGCCAATAAATATCCACCACTCAATTTGTAGACAATATAAAATTTATGTGAAAAAAGAAATAAAATCTATGTGAATATTAAGAATAACAAAATGAAAATAAATTATTACAAATTTAGAAAATCACACGTTTTATTTCTAAAGAAATGAACGGTTAATGTGACGGGAAAATGTTTAAACACGTGTTGCCCGAACCCATTTTCGAGGGGGAAAAAACAAAACAAGAACCAAACATGATAGCTCATTTTGGAATGTTTTTATTTTTTTATTTCTTACCCTTTTTTCATTTCTAATTTTAGAAATATAAATATTTAGAATTGTTTCTATTTCCTGTTTATAAAATATTTTTAGAATGATAACAAAAATTTTGAAAACAATAAAATCAAATTTATTGTTTAACAATAAATTTTAGTTTGTAGGTTTTTTTTTCAAGCATGGATAAAAGTTTTTTTTTAATCAATTTTTACCTTAAAATACATAGTAAATATAACATAAAATTTCAAGTACTTAATTTTAAAAATAAAATTTCATATAAAATTTTTATTTTTTCTAATTTATAATTTTAGAGAATAGAAAAAAAATTATTAACAAGCATGTTTTTGTTTATTTCTTCCATAAAAACATAAAAAAAACACTCATTTATGTTTTCTATTTATTAAAAAAGAGATAACAAGAAACAAATAGCAATAAATGATAAACAATAACCTTAACAAACGGAACCCTAATTTATTAATCAATAATTTACTGATTTTATTTATTATTTTATAGTGTCTACTTTAGGAGTCTTTTCTTATTATTTTAAAACTATTAGAATAATATCAGAATAATGAGTACATAATAGCCACTCTTTTTAATTTTATTTTATGAAAACCATAATAGCCACTTTTAATATATTAAAATCTTACAAGTTTCTTAATAATCAAGTGTTGCATGGTCATCCAATGGAAATATAAAATTATAAGAATTCAAATGGATTAATTGTCCGTGGCTACCTATCTAAGATATTAAATTCTACTAATTTATTGACAACTAAATATTGTAACATTACACTCCTACGAGATTTAATGAGCTTAAGCCGACCCAAAACTTAGAGTAAAAAATGGAAATAAATAGAAATTACCTGAAAAATCTATAGACATTACAGATCAACTTGAAAATAAGCTCTAATTTGTTAAGGCACATACTCGAAGTTGGATGTTCAAATCTCTACTCACGTGTGTTGCTGAGCTTTAACAGAAAAAATATATTATGGAACATAAATTAATGAACAATACTTATATACTTACGAGTCAACACTAATCTTCTATCTTCCTACTCATTGTTGACCCGCCACCAAAATATTTAGAGGACTTTATTTTTAAAAGATATTATATACATATTTCATGGGTTTTTTTTTAAAAAAAATTTGTTAATCTCTATCCCTATATTGTGCCAAGTCGAAAACAAAAGGTTTAAAAATACATTCGGCTTATGTACTTTCACTAAAGTGATGATTTGGTCTCGAAACTTTACTTTGTAATGATTTTGTACTTTCAAATTAGCAACAATTTAGTATTTGAATCTAACAATTTAGTTCATATAGTTTAACATTTGTAACAACTTAGTCTCTACTATGAAAAACCTCATCAAAATTAAGTGTTGTTTTTATCATATAACAAACACATTTGGTCATTAATCGATTTATCGATCTACATATATAATAAATTTAACAAAAATTTCCACCTTATGTACTAATTCGTGACAAACTTTAAATTATTAAATATTACCTATCAAAGCTTAGAAACTAAATTATCACCCATTTAGAAGTATATAAACTAAATTGTTAGAAACTAAAATTTAGGAACTAAATCGTTATTTCACACAAACCAAAGTATCCGTTGACTCCAATAAAATGTCGTTGAACCATATGGTCATTAATCGATTTATCGATCTACATATATAAAGAAATTTAAAAATATGTACTAAATCCCGATAAACTTTAAATTATAGGAACTAAATTATTAGTTATCAAATTCCGAACACTAAATTATTACCCATTTAAAAGTAAACGAACTAAATCGTAAATAAACTATAGCCATAATGAAACGGCGTCGTTGCGTATCATTAGTTAGTTGCACATCAATTATTGGGGGTGGTAGCCGTAGGCGGGTATTCTAGAAGAGGAAAACGAAGAAAAACAGGACCGTTCGTCTGCGACCGTGACCACCACACGTCTGAAGAACCAGCTCCCTCTCTCTTCTTCGCTGCGATTTTCCGCCTTCATCACTCCAAATTTCACTTTCTTCAGTATTTTCTCTCCTTCCAAACGCATCGAATTTTGTCTTTCCTTTAATTTTTTTAATTATTTGTTTTCGATTTCGTATTAGGAGCTTCTTCAATTTCTAGCTCGAGAAAATTTTCGATTTGTAGGGTTACGTATGATCAGATACTAGTTTTCCGAATTCTCCCGCTTCGGAATTTCGGTGTGTTTCTTTTCTTTGTTATTATCGCGATGATTGTCGTGAAATGTGATGTGGAATTGTGGATTACTCTTTTGTTGCCGGAACATGCTGTAATTATTTTACTGTTTGACAGATTCATGCCGTCTTGTTCTTGTTTTTGCCGATCGGTACATTTCTATTGAATTTTCCAGATCTTATTTCCGGTGTTTGGTTAATGATTTCAGAAGTTTAATTTAAATGTTTGCGGAGTTCCTTATTTGGTTATAATTGTCTACCGGCCATCAATTATAATTGTCAAATTTTGATCGAATTAGTCTTTTCGATGGTGCATTTTTTTCTTTTAACGAGTTTTTGAGCCTGTATTATCCTCCTTGAGAGGGCGGGTATGCCGTGCAATTTAAAAGGATGTAATTCTAACATCTTCTATCTGAAGAAGAACTATAATTTGAAATGAACTAATATTTTATTTTTTTGCGTTGTCTTCGTTTATTAAGTTTCCATGTGTGTTCTTGTGTTCTAAAATATGGAAGTTTATAATTCTTTAACCTGGATAGCATTTTGACTAACCTTTTTTTTGCGCAGCAATGGAATTTATATTGAAAGGAATGAATGATGAGGCATCTGAGTGCTCCTCTAATGAAATGGACATCCAGAGATGTCCTTTCCTGAGGAATATTAATAAACCAACCTGCTTTTCCTTCTCCACCATGAATTTCACCTTCCCGGTACTTACTTATCTGCTCTCTAGTCTCTACCACTTCACGATCGCAATGGCTTATCTGATTTATTATTTCTGTTTTTCCAGGTTCGTGGAGCGAAAGGGCCAATTTTTGAGGATGGTCCCAATTTTGACACTGCGTTTAACCTGTTTCATGGTAAAGATGGGGTCGTCCCACTATCTGAGAGATCTGGTTTCCAGAGCAAATTGGCAGAACCGGAGACCGCTCCTCATTTCAACCCCTTGGCAGCGAAAGCTGCAACCATCAGTCTGTCAGCTTTTGGACCAGGAGGACCATTTAGCTTTGGTAACTTCTCTGAGAAATGGAAGAAGCAGAAGTCTGAGTCTTCCAACAAGAAAGATTCTTCGTCACAGGTAGATTTGCATTCTCCTTAAGCCTTAGACTTAGAACGCAGAGTTGGATCATCCATATCATTTTTTCTAAGAGATGGTTACTTAAATGGAGACTCAATTTCAGAATTCAGTATAATTCACTCTCAAAATTATGATTGTTGTTGGCTTTTGTTGCTGGGGTAATATTTTGTGGGGAGAAAAGGAAGAATTTGAAATCTTTAATCTTGCATAGTTGTGAAGGAAAGCTTGAAAATATGGGACTTGGTTACAACTTGTAACCACAAGAAAACAACACATGTTAAATCGCCAACCCAAAAGCTTTGAGCTAATGGATTCCGGTAAATTTAACTATTGTTTCATAGTTTCAACACATGTGGGAGGAGATTATCTGATAATATGATGTTTGGAAGACTTATTGTATTATGGTTGTCGTGTGCTTCTGCTTGATTGATATCGGCAACCCTTTGCTGAGGGGCATTTTTCCTGGTTTTATTTCATTTCGCTTTCTTGCATGTTTTCCAGAAAAAAGGAAGTTCATCTAAGCATGAGGCCCTGGGAAGTGAGTGGTTGGAAACAGGAAACTGCCCAATTGCGAAGTCTTTTAGAGCTGTTAGCGGAGTCCTTCCACTTGTTGCATCAGCTCTTCAGCCACCACCTGGTATGAAGCTTAAGTGCCCGCCCGCTATAGTTGCTGCGAGAGCTGCCCTCGCTCGTACCGCATTTGTCAAAAACTTGCGTCCTCAGCCACTTCCTTCAAAAATGCTTGTAATTGCGGCCTTAGGCATGGCAGCAAACGTTCCTCTGGGTATATGGAGGGAGCACACTCAGAAGTTCTCATTTTCATGGTTTGTGGCAATTCATGCAGCCGTACCCTTCATTGCCATGCTTCGAAAATCTGTCTTGATGCCGAAGACAGCTATGGCGATGACCATTGCAGCTTCTGTACTAGGGCAGATTATTGGCTCGAGGGCCGAACGTATGCGACTGAAAGCTGTTGCTGAGAAGGGAAAAGCAACAACAGTGCTACCTACTGTAGGTACCAGTCCAAGCTACGAGTTAACCCAGGTCGATACCATCGTAGCAGGCAGTCGATGTGGTACAGAGACAATGATGTTTGATCCTCTCCAGAAGGATGGTCGGCAAACATCTTCCCCGGCGAAGATATGCTCGTAAGGCGACTTCGTATAGGTACAAGCGTATACAATGAAATAAATAAAGTGCCATTGGCATCGTTAATGAAACTAAACCTGATATGGAATGTAGATTTAATTGGAATTAAACCGGTGGCATGTAAATTGTATAATGTTATGCATTATGCTTTTATTATACTCTTTTGCTAAATATAAGATTAAAAAAAAACCTTATTAAAGACTGAGTGAAGAAAATCTAGTATCTTTATGTTATTTCACTACTACATCTCTCTTAGGGTTGTACACATAAATAATCTCCTTCACAAATCAAACATATTTGACGGTAAGCACATCTCATGTCCTATGGCCTTTGATGGCAATTGATATTCATAAATTAAATTGATCAAACCCATCCATTTAAACTTTTGAGTTGAGTGGTGGTTTATTCATCCTTGACATTATATTAGAGTTGGAGGTCTCGTATTCGAATGGTTTATTCATCCTTGACATTATATTAGTATTGGAGGTCTCGTATTCGAACTCCTACATTGTTGTTTCCTCTCCATTTACTATGATTTCCACTTGTTGGGTTTTGTTGCAATTTTCCAAGCCCACAAGTGATGGAAAGTGTTGTGATAATCCTAATAAATGAATGAAAATTTTTTTAAGGTAATTGTTTTTCGCCTCTCTTAAGCAATAACAAGCATAACAGCCCAATTGTTTCGATGGAGAGGAATTAATTTTTTGGAAAATTTTCGAACTGCCAACCTCATACCTTCTTTGACCGCCAACACTTTTGCCAGGTTCACATTCGGAATGTTCGTAATTTGCCTTATGATTATAAGTATAATCTAACCATTTGAATCCCTAATGATAATACACAAACTTGTAATTAGAAATTATGGCCGATAGGAAGCATTCGTGTTCAATAAGCAAGCAGAATTTTCACCAACTATTTATTTGATCAAGACTTTCACGAACTGTGACTAAAACTATATACCATAGAGCATTTGAGGTAAGAAAATACAAGCAAAAGAAACCTAAAACAGTTTAAAAATATTACGTTAACTTATCAAAAAATAAAGCGCAGCCATCAACAGAAAATAACAGGAAAAAAAAGTGGGCTAAAAAAAAACTATGCTTACAGATTGTCTAAGATGCAAAACACAGTTTCCAAGCAACAGCTGTACAAGAAAATTTCAGTAACTGAGGCCCCAAAAACGGCTAGCAAAAGTTTGTCCAAACTTTCCACCTTGGTGCTTCTCTTCTCCTGCCATATATTTTCTTATGAAAAAATTAGGCATTCAGAATTTAGAAACTTGCCTGGATCACCTGGCTGTGAATCCACTGCTACCATAAGCGGGAGGGACAGAGGCCAAACCAGGGCAATCCCTAGCCCAGTGCCCTGTCTGATGGCATTTGAAGCATTCACCAGAGGCACCACCAGTAGGGCCAGAAGCTCTATTTGAATACATCCCCCCTCCAACGGGATGCGTAGGACCGCTCATGATACTCGGGCAGTTCATAGAGCTGTGACCGGAGCTCCCGCAGCTGTTGCAGTACATGTTCGAGTTAAGCGGCATGGATGGAGTGAGCCTAGAACTGTTGTACTGGTTCCCGAGCTGAATACCTTGGTTTGGAGTACCATATTCTCTGCCAACATTGCTACTATTTCGAATGGGTGACACGAACTGTCCACCGCCAACATTCACTGCTCCAGGGTTGTGAAGTCCGGGTTCTGCCTTTGGGGTAATAGAACTAGGGTTCTCTGCCCTATGCTTTTCCATCAAATCTAGGAGAAACCTGGACTCTGTTGAAAAATTTACACTATCTGCTTTCACCACTGTTGACTTTACTCGCGATTCATCACTGAAAGTCTCTTCCTTTATTTTCAACTTCATAATGAATTTTGTAAAGAGGACCTTACGGATGATTTCTGCAAATTTCTCATCATCTTGCTCTTCGTATTTCAAAAAATACAGTCTTTTTGCAGGTATGCCCATGATCTCCTCACCGCCTTCTTGAAATGCAGTTACCCAAGTTAAGCCAGTATGGTCCTGTATTTGTAGCTGGAGTATGTACCTGTAGTCACATTCCTCAACGGACTGATCACACCTATCACATCTCCATTTTCCATCTCCATTATTCGCAACCTTTTTGTTGCATTGTCGGTCCCCAATCAGGATAGGACATGCCGTGTAACAGAAGCTGTCGACCTTGATGAATGAAACAGTTGCACTAACAGTAATCCAATCTGGCTTCTCAGAGGTTCCTAACCTCTCATCTTTGATTTGAGATATGGTCTTACGGACATCGGTCCTGCCCACAGTAGAAACTTCCCTCGATAAAGAGACAGAAGGAGTACTCCTCCCTTCCTTCTCAAACCAGTCCCTCAGCCTACGAGCCTCGGGAAAGTCTGGCTCAACAAAAAGCTGACTGGTTGAAATGGTCCCCACTGCCTTCCCATTGAAGTCGCTCACTCTACTAGATTTCACAGCCAAAACTGGGAACAGCCCCGAGTCACACATATTCTGCAATCTTTGCCCTTCTGCTTGACAGAAGTTTCCCCACAGAGTTAACTCAACACTTCGGCCAGACATATCCTTCAACTGAAGGGATCTCTTCTGAGTCTCAATACCATTTTTTCTCATTAAAGAAGTTGAAGGATTAATGGAGGAAACAACACCAATTACATCTACAACAGTGTTGCTGTCCATGCCTTCAATCTCACTAATCTGACGGAAATGGAACTGTTGTTGGGGGATTGATTGGTCATCCTCAAAGCAAGGTTGGAGTGTTGATGTGCTCTCAAGAAATATTTCTAAGTCGTTTTTTAGATGATTAAAGTTCTTTTGAGCAGGTTTCAAAGTTCCATTAGAAATGAAGTAGATTTTACCAGATTCGATCTGGTTGTAAAACTGATCGGCTACTGTATTGAAGCATGTTACCCGTATTTCTCCACCATAGGAATCAAGAAGATCAAATGAAAACACTTTCCCCTCCCCACGAGGATTATTGTAGTGCTTAAGTTCTTTTTTTGATGTAACTCGAGCCTTTATTGTCCACCTTCCTTGGTAAGGGTTCAGAGCAGCAATAGGCATTATCCTTGGGGTAGCTTCGTTTTTTGCTACTGGTCCTCTATTACTGTACATTGGAGGTGGCTGCTGATATGTTGGCTGAGGACGGGAATAAGCATTTAGAGGAGGCCTTGGAATATCTGATTCATTGTTTTGATATGCCATCTTCTGATCACCATATGACCCACTTAAAGAAGATGGCCCGTTAAACCTTGTTCCAGGATCCATATTAGAGTAAAGAGGAGGTGCAATTGATGCAGTGTATCTTCCAGACTCAGGATTGTTAGAAAAAGAGCCCACATGCGATTGAATCACGTTGGGCTGTTCAAAAGACACACCAGATACATTCGTCTTACCAACCATTCCACCGTTGGGTGAAGGACCCACAGAGGATTGGGGATTTCCACTTGCACCTGCTATTACTGACCTCGTTGCTTGTACAGGCTCGCCAATAATTTCACACACATCCACTAGAACATCCAACTTGATGACAATTATAATCCTGCAATCAATTGATAGCAACATCATGAAGAGTTCCAAGACAAAGTTGCACACTATAACTATCTAACAGAATCAGACAGCAACAAAAAAATAAAAGGATAAAACCCAAATGTCTCATTGCATTTATTAATTTACACACATACGCAGACAAAGATAAAAAAAAAAAATTAAAAATTAAATAATAAAATAAAATAAAACTAACATGAGAACGAAAAGAATGGACAATGACATTCAAAGGTTAGAGACGAAACATATGTATAGATGCAGGGAGCAACAATGGTTAATTTCATGAGCTCGAAATAACAAAGAGGCCAAAAGATCAATCCATCTCTAATAAACTTATAGCAACTTTGAGTGAGTGGGTTCTCATTTTAATGCCAATACCTAAGGAACAAAAAAGCAGTTTTATTCACTAATCAAATTTAGAAACAATTGGTACAAGTCCTTCAAATATTATTTTCCATAAAATAAAATGTGACATGAACCACTATTTTTAATCCAATACATGAAGATAGGTCGAAAGATCCTTAAAAGTACTATCATTTTCATTATTTATTTTACAAAATTTACAGATAAATGACCATGAACAACCCAAACCAATCCAACCTGCATTGTAAGGTTGGGTTGAGTCATCCATCACCTAACTAGAGTCATTTGGGTTAGAAACTCAAATAGAAATGTTCCTCTTCTTTCCAACTGGAAGTGGAGATTTACTTGAGAGGAGAAAAGCCTTTGGAAAAGAGTAGCCGTAGTATTCATGGCGAACACACGATACCATCAATCAATTTCCAAATTCTTGCAGGTTCATCAAGGGGCAGTTAGCCTACTGTTAGTTTCAAGATGATGATGAAGGAGACCTTGCTCAAGCTAGGAAATGGATTGAGAATCAGGTTTTCTGAAGACAAGTGACTCCTTCACTTCCCACTTAACATTTATGTCCCAACATGTTCTTCCTCACGAACTCAAAGAAGATCTTGATCGGTTAACCAATAAGTAGGTCGGAGGTGGTTTTGAACCATAACGAGACTATACAGAGTGGATTTTTTATACTTTGAAGGTTATTCTTTAAGTCTTCCTTTCCTTCTCTCAATGACTCTTCCATAAATTAGAGAAGTAACTCGCTGGGCTAATTTGGATGGAGGAGGCTCCTAAAAAGAAATCAAATTCCTCATGTAGTCCCTAGCGTATAAAAGTTTGAACACACAACATAGAATGCAGAGGAATCAATAAAGAGAGATTTCTTATCTGCTTTGTTGCTTCTCTGTAACTCCTCTTTATATATATATAAAAATGGTTTCTTTCTTATCCAAATAAATAAATAAGGTAAAAACAGAAGGGTAAACTTCAAGCATACATGTACATGCACTCAATTCATTCCCAGAAATCAAATTACGAAATCATGGAAAATTGACTTCCTGCGCTTTACACTGCACATCAATTCTAAACAATCATATGTCGAAAGCAAATAAATGTCGAAGTAAACTGATTCAGTTTGTAGTAATACGTACAGGCGATCTTGAACGGGGTTACAAACATACTGCTTCAAATGAACGACAGAACCTTTCTGTAACTTCCCAGATTTAACCAATCCATTGAGCTGAGTGCCCAGCATTCCTTGTTGGAAATGGGTTCCATCAGAAAGCAACAATCTATACCTCTCGTTGCCTGACTGCTGCGAAGTGTTAACCAATTTCAACTCAAATACTTGAACAATCGGCTGGAACATCTCTGCTGTCGGCTCCCTCTTGCAGATCACCATCACTGCTCCGTCCGTCAGCTTATACGGCGCCATTAACGCTGCCATTTCAAGAAATAGTAACGGAACCCGAACACTCTACGAAGAATTTAGCTCGTTCGTTGAAGATGAAACTTCGATCGGAAGGGGAAACGAATCCGAGATTGTGGAATCAGCGGGAAGAATAAGGGGGAGAGAGAGCGAAGGAGCATCAGTTACAGAAATTTAAAAAACCCTAAAAAGAAAGTGGGAATTGCTATGATTTTGCGAGGGAAACCGCGAAATCTATTGAAATGGCAAAAATAGCGTTCGCTTTTATAATAATTCCCAGTGTATCCCTTCGGCTTCCACGATACGCCTCTCCACCGTGGTCCCACGTGGCACGTACTCAATTTCTGAGCCTTTTCTTTTTGTAAATTATCAATCCATAATTGACTCCATCATCACAAAAATTAATTAATTGGTCCATTAATTGACCCGTCCTCATGAATCGTGATTCAATTATATATTTATCCAAGGAGTTGTAAGTTGGATCTCCCATCCCACATGTTATATTAAAAAATGACATTTTATAATTATAATTTTTTTATCACGTAAATAGTTTGATCCAACTGTGGTATTATATTGAGATTTTTTTAAGCATGTGATTGTGGACTAAAGTGTAAAATTAAAAGGACGCAATCAAATCTAGGTCTAGACTCAATTTGGTAATTTTAATTTTTGTAGGTAAGATGCACTTCTTGTCCCTCCAATTTGATATTGGCTTCTATTTGATCATAAGTTTCAAATCCCATTATTTTTTGTCATTAACATTATATTTAGTTTATATTGAGTCTCACGAATTGATTGATCAAATGAAATAATGATGTGACAATTAATATATGTTGATTAGAAAGCGAAATATCTATCAACTAATCAACACGAACGCCAATAAATCTAGTTGGCAGTCGAGTTAACATATGTTAACTCTTACAATATCATTTCATATGATCGACTTGAGGGAACAATTAAAGCCAAACCTCTTAGACAAATTTAAAACTAAGTTCAAACTTTATAGATCGAGACATGTGACTTGACTTTTGTAATGTTTTTTTAGTACAACGTATGGGAGTGGGGATCAAACTCACAACGCTAAACAAAACGGTAAACAAAAATAGGAAGAATTTTATTTTTAATTTTGGAATCCCAAATATAATTATAATTAACTTGAAAATTTTATTTATTTGTATAATCAATTCATACCTCAGACGATCACTAATTTAAAAGAATAACTAAATTGGATTAAATAAATGTAATAGGATCAAATAAATTAAGGATATTTTGAAGACAAAATAATATTATTTTAGTACTGAAAATCTACCAATGTAAAAAATTAAATTGGTGAAATATCATCCCTGTTTGTTTTAGAGCAATTTATGTACTTTTTTTTTCACCCTAAAATTAGAATAAAAATTAATTTTAAAAGCAAAACATATGGGGAAGTTTGAAAAAGCCACGTGTCTTTGCGGATTACAATATGTAAATAAATATCTTATAATCCACTGTCCAAACGTCCAGAAAGAAAGTCAAAAAAATTAAAAAAATTAAAAAATAATAAATAAATAAAAAGTTGATACTTTCCTCTCTTCTCACTCTCGCAGAAAAATAAAATTTCTTCGTTCCTCTGGTCAAGGAGACTCCGATCACCGGATAGATGTTTCCGGTGGCCGGAGCTATCGTCCCTTTTAAACCTAAAAGTTCGTGCCGTTCATCCAAGAAACCAGAGTGATTAGCCTGCAATTTCAGTATTCTCGATGGATTCTGTGGACGACGAGGTTTCTACCTCTGAAAGGACGACGAAGGGGCGTTATCTAGCTTTAATTGTGCGATGGTGCGCCGTGCTTATGCTTCCAGTAGTTTTATTCTTTGTTGTGACCTTATCGTTGAGTTTAGTTGCCGTTCTTGTCGCCAATTCGTCAATTCCTAATTCCATTTCTTTGCGCTCTCAGTGCAAGATTGTTTCCAGCAGTGAGTTTTTCTTTTATATCTTATATTTTAGTTCGTTTCAAATTTAATTTTGATATGTTTTTGTTTTCGAATTGGTTAGGATATGCTACTGAATCAGTTTGAGTCTATATCTGATTGATCCCTAGATGCTTTGTAACAAGTCTGGACTATAAATTTTCTTGTGGACCTAGTGACTACGAATGGGACAGTTTGTAAATTATGAACTTGTTCTCGTGTTAGTGGATGAAGTGATATATATACGAACTTAACTTCGAAATTAGAATTGATTCCAGTTTGTGGATCAGCTAAAAACTAAGTCGGATGTCAATGACACATAACGACTATGATAATATCATGAAATTAATTCATTCTCTTATTGTTTTTTTTTTCTTTTAAGTTCATCATTCTCTTATTGATTAAAGGAAGTATGAATTGAGTTTGGAACTTCGATGCATGATGTCTTGGTGCTTTAAGTTCCATCAACTCTCATTTTTAAGTATTTTTCTATTCTGTTGATCTTCTCTGAGAAAAGGAAAGTAAATCTAAAGAGGTCCATCTTTCTTTTGGCAGGTGTGGACCTTAGGTCATCTAAAGTTTGTGAACTTGGACTACTGAATTATAAAGCCAAGAATGTTTTCTACCCCTATGAAAGGAATAAGTTTAGATGCCGTTACGACTACTACTGGGCGTCTGTATTCAAGGTTACAGTGATTTACTCCCAGCTATGTATCTTTTGGCACCTCCCCTTCAATACCCAGCTTAATACTTATGTCATGCCAATAACCCAGTGGGTATTGCAAATTAATATCTTGAGATATCATAAAATGACATTAAGTTTTTCTAATAGTGTTGAAGATTTTGTGTTGTTTCTTTTCTTGCTCATGTTCAGGTTAGTCTTATCTTCAAAATCATGCTATAATTCTTCTGGAAACCAAATCCTGTTTATGATCCCCATCAGTATCTGTGAGATCATTGAATCTTGAAGGATATATTTTTGTAATTACATTTTTATATTCAATGCGAAATGGAGGGACTTTTTATAATTCACTTGGCTCCTTTAGGATGATTTCTTATCACCTGTTGTACTTTTTGAAGTGATCAAGGAAATTTTTGTTTTTTTATTAATATATGCATGTGTATGAGGTCTGAAATGAAATTTTTTATGTTTTTTACAATGGGGTATCTCTGTTTTTTGTTTGTTTATTTGTACTTATCCATCAATATGGTATGATAGATTTTTAAGCATAGGCTGTGTAATTCTTAGGTGTTTTAATTCTAGGGTAACCTTTTCTTTACACCGTACTTCACAGTATTTATTGTTCAATAATATGCTTTAATTTATTTCTTTAGATGTTTTGAAATAATCCTTTATGGGCAACTAAGAAATGTGGACACAGACATAGGACATAGACATGACACAACACTGACGCAATTTCATGGCATTTTTCTAAAATATTAGGACAATGGACACATGCACAACAAAGATACAAACAATAAATATAATTTTCTAAAATAACTTTTTTACACGTTACGCACATTGTTGCTTTCAAATATTCTCAACTATACAGCTTTAAGTAAACCTAAGTATTGTGAGGTAAATTATATTTCTCCACAGACTTAAAGCATTGCAACATAGAAAGAAAGTCAATTGTCGCACAAAATAAATAAGTCTTTGAAAAAGAAAAAAGGAAAAAAACCTGTATCTCTATCATCATTCTCACACTACTTCATTAAATTTTATTATGTGAAATCTATTCACTTTCTCTCCCTTTTTAGTTTAGGTTCCTTAGGTTTATATGCTTTTATATCTTAGTTCCTTGTGTAGATATTCAGTCTTGATTTAAAAACTATCATGAAAGCTTGGTTTTTCATCCCTTCCAAAAATGAATTGACCTTCATGGTGGAAAGTGGCAATCAAATTCCCTTTTGAGTTTTGGGTGGATAAGTGGATTGATGATGTCTCTGTGAGAGATTATTTTCCTAGCTTGAATAATGTTGTTAAATGAAGCATTGGGAACGGTATAGAAGTTGGGGAGTTCTTGCTAATAGCTAAGGATGGGGAGTGAGGAGGCAGCAAAAGGAAAGGCCGTGAACAGCATTTGGGACAAGGCGTACAAAAGTTGGAACCTCATATTCAGGAGGCTGCTAAATGATAGAGAAGTTGAGGATTGTTTGAAACTTCTTTCTAAGTTGATTGGTTTTTGTAGTAGTATAGCAGCTTTAAGAGGAGACAATCCACCAATTTATTACTGGTGCAATCTATGTAAAAGGGATAATAAATTGGTGGATTGTCTCCTCTTAAGATGCATATACTTTAATATTTGGTAGAGGCTGGACACTTTTGGGATCAACACAGCCCTTTCATCCTCTACTTGTTCCTGTCTAGATCTATTGATTTGCTGTCGAAACCTAAATTGGAAGGCAATAGTGTTGTGGTTAAATGCAGTTAGAGCAGTTTTTTTGGTAGTTTCAGTTGGTGAAGTTGGAAGATTTTCCAAGGTATATTAAGAAAAGACAGTAAATTTGGGATATTATTGTCTTTGTATCTTATTTTTGGAGCACTCTTTTGAAATCCTTGTGTCAATTGGAGAGTCTTCTTGTATCTGATGGGATCCTTGGGTCTTCCATTTTTGTAAATTCCATTATTCAATAAATTCTTTTTTTTTTTTGATAAGAAACTTAATTTATAGGAAAAATGATAGACAAAATACAGCCTAAGGGCAGGGGGAAGAGGGCTCCCCCTCCCAGAAAACTAATGAAGTAAAGCATTCCAATCTTGCATAATCGACGAGAGGCTGTAATTACAAAATAATTTTCTATGCCTAGAACACCACCAAGAAGTGTGTAACTGTACTGTATTACAAAAAATTTCTAACGTAGAGGACTTATCTTCAAAAATTCTATTGTTTCTTTCCATCCAGAGGTTCCAAATAAGGGCTCTAGCAGCACAATTCCATAGAATTTTTGCTTTCCCTTTAAAATGCCACCCCCGAAGAGCTTCATTCAACCACCTATCAATATTCTGAGGCATGCAAGTGGAATACCTAAAGATTTGCAGCAGAAAGAACCACCAACGAAGTGCAAAATTACAGTGAAGGAAAATATGGTCCATGGTTTCCTCATTCTAATTGCAAAGAACACAAACGGAAGGAGAAAGAGCCCAATTTGGACATCTTCGCTGGAGTCTATCTGCTGTGTTTACAGCACGGTTGGCTAAGGTCCAAAGGAGAACTTTCACCTTCTTTGGAACAAAGAATTTCCAAAGAAGAGAAGTTAAAGGGGAGTTCATAATTGGGGAGTCTTCACACAAAATTTTTAACCCCGATTTAACCGTGTAAACTCCAGAGGAATCAGGAGACCAAACCACTTTGTCAACTCCTTCTCCAATTCGAATGGTGTCCAACCTGCTCATAATATCAATCCAGCCCCTAACTTCGCTATCAAGCAGACCCCTTCTTATGCCTAGGTCCCAAGCTAGTTGTTCTTCTTTCCAACAATCAGCAATCGTGGCCTCCTTTTTCAAAGATAAAGCGAAAATTTCAGGAAAGTCATGGGCAAGAGTAGTGTTCCCCATCCATCTATCTGTCCAAAAACGGATTCTGTCGCCATGTTTAGCTTTGAAAGATAGAAATTTAAGGAAAAGGATGCTGTTCTTTTCCTTAAATTTCTATCTTTCAAATTCCTTAAACCTAGAATTATTCAATAAATTCTAGGTTTCTCACAAATAGATACTTCTATTATTTTTATTACTAACTAATTCAACTGAAATAGTGATTCAATTCTCGACACATAACCTCCATGCCCAAATCACGTAATATGATAGGTAAAGTACTCCATTGAGAAGTTTGAAGTAAGATTGGAGAGGCTCGGGCAACATCAATGAGATGGTTAGAATGGACTAAATAAAATTTCATGTTCAATGTAAGTAAGTAAGATCAAGCTGTCTACTGTATACTGATCCAAAGGTTTTGATATGATGAGATTTGAATGCTTGCATGTTGCTATCTCATATTTTGTCATCCTTTGTATCATACACTCCTTAATTGGTACTATAATACTGTTTATCCTGATTGAATGTTCATGCATGGACATATCTAAGTAGTTTTGTTAATACTTTCTATTACCCTTTAGTAGAAATATTTTCCCACTTTGTTTATGTTTCTTATTTCATAATTTTAGGTAGAAATGAAGGATCATTTTTCTGGCAAGGCTCGGATTGGTTTGGCAGAGGCTCCAGATGAGGCCCTTCCTCATAAATGCAGGCCTAATTTCGGTGCTGCATGGTTGGCAAAAGATAAATTCAAGGTGCACTAGCAAAGGATCTCACCCATGATTGATTTTACTTCATAAATTTGAAGTCCTTAGATTATTCTATTTACAAAGGACGCAGATAAGGTATTCACCATTCTTAACCAGTATCTGTTATAATCTACTTCTAACACACTTCCTATGTCGTTCTTTCATTAGGTGAATGAAACATACGACTGCTGGTACTCATCTGGCATTTCCAAAGTGAGCTTAGACTATGATGGTTTCTCCAGTTGTCAATCTCAAGAGCCTACAAAAGTCGAGATGATTAAAAGATACTACTTTCTGTAAGTCATTTTACCAACTTCTTCCAATTTGACACGTATTACTTTTGTCTTTGGAAGACCTTTCATTTCCGCAGATAGTAACGACTTCTTGTGCTTCTTATCTTTTTTCACCTTTTGAATGCAATTGTTAATCATATAGCTTAGATGATGTGTATATTGCAGTCTGTCACTTTTGTCTTATCATGGCGACATCTTGAATAGTTACATGTATTCCCTTCTGTAAATACTTTTTCTCCCAACTTGGTCAAGGGGCAAACGTGAGCTACGCTTGACTGGATAATGGGAAAGAATCTCCATTACTAAGCCAAGCTCTGTTTACTCACCAAAAAAAAAAAAAAAATCCGAGCTCTGTAGTTGACATACTAGATAAACCATGATCGCATCTTTTTCTAACAACATTTGGAACTGCACGCACCATTTGACTGGAAAACTTGTGCTTCATTGCTTCTTGTACTGTAGTTTTCACTCTACATGCGTAATGATGGTCAATTTATGCTTATTATCCCTTTCTTACCTGTAGAAATCTTGATACATTTAATTCTGATTTGATAACCATTTTATTTTTGGTTTCCTGTTCTTTTTTTTTATTTTATTTATTTTTTAAAATTAAGCTTAAAAACACTACTTCTACCTTTGTGTTTCTTTGTTTTCTTATCTAGTTTTTAAAACTATTTTCAAAATCTAAGCTAAATTTTGAAAACTAAAAAAACTATGTTTTTAAAAACTTATTTTTTTTTACTGAAATTTAACTAATAATTCAAATGTATTTTTAAGAAAAGTAATAAACATACCAAACAAACTAGGAGGAAGTAAGCATGATTTTTAAAAACAGAAAATTAAAAACAAAATCATTATCAAACGGGACTTATGAATTCCTTGTATTTTTGCATTTTTGCTGTACTGAAGGCATGTTTTGTCAAGTATTACATTTTATAACTGCTGATGATGGTTTGTTTCTGCATAATCGGCCGGAAGATTTAGCAATACACTATTTGCACTTATTTTCTTGTATCACACGTCAAACAACTCACAGTTCCTAAAAAAGGTTTGGGATAGTTTAATACCCTCTTGGTCTAGTACTTAAGTGCTTCCCTCAGTAATCAAATATCATTGTGTACTGAAGTTTCGAAGTTCGTTATTTCGTTCTTTCTTTTATGTTCCTCAAAGAAAGCGCGGTTTCTTATAAAAAAATAATAAATATCATCATTCTACTGTCAGGTGCACAAAAATATTGCTTTCTTGGCATTCTAGCAAGGAAAGAGCCATATTTTGGAGGTGGGATGTGATGGCTGGACTTATGACTGGTTTTTCGACTTCATTGATCGCCATTACTGTCTTAAGGATCCTACAGCCACTGATTCCTTGGATGCTTAGGTACTTCACAGCAAGATTTTTTATCCACCTGAATCGCGGTTGTTTTCTGGTAGCGTACTTCTCCTTTGTAGGTTGGTTAATTGTCCAGTATGGAAAAAGGCTTAGCCTTCCTGAGATTTTCAATATCCTGAAAACTAGGTTGTGGTCCTCAAACTGAAACAACAGAAAGAAAGTAAATGTAGCATTTTTTTCCAGTGAATCGATGTTAGAATTTATTACATTACGGCTGTTTGTAGAAAGATGTATGATGTATTGATGAGATGAAGCTGTAACTTCCATTTATGTGAAAATTTGATACAAGAAGAAGAAATGGATTTACATACCTACAGAAACTGCTATTTCATGAGTTCAAGGTAACTTTTGGGTTGTCCCATTTGTGCATCTTCTAGCTTTATAGGATGGTAGCATGGACGAAGATACATTTTTAGCTGCAATTCTTCTTTACTAGGAGTATAATTTTTCTTCTAATTTCGATTGCTTGGTTCATGGGTTAGTGTTTGGCTCATAACTTGCTCAAGTGGAAAGAAACGACATTTTTATGAACGACACTTTCTCACCAAATAAACTTCTTTCTCTCTCCCATCTGTCAAAAACTCCGTGGTGGACAGTAAGAATTCTTGCTACCCGAAAGTATTCTTTTTATTGATAGAACATAACGTATGTGCATCTATAAGGCCAACACTTCATCAAATGACAATGGCTCATCTAACAAATCCATACATCCTTTTTGGAACTTTTAGTTGAGGGAAAAAAAAACATATGAACAAGGCATACAAAAAAATCAGCCCTAGAACAAGAGATGGATAACTTTTAACTGATAGTTACGAAACAATTTTGAGACCAACCTCGCTGATAGAGGTATTAAGTCTAATTAGCTCTCAAACATACTCTATGAGGTGAGTGGATCTACTAATGAAGGCATTACCAGCAGCATTTTTCTTCAATCATGACCTCCTCCCTAACTGCAATATGTTAATAGAATGAATTATGAACTTTCTCTACAACAAAAAATTCTCTAGCAAGTGTCAGCTTCTCTACTGCAATGACTTTTCAAATAATATCAGTTTTCATTTCTAAATGTATGCCAAACAGAAACTATTGACTTAGAAAATACAGCTGATCGTTAGCTTTACAGTATGCCAGCTGATCGAAATCATATACACTCATCAGTCTATACTTGTCTCTGGTCGCTGAATGTTTTGGACATTCGTACATCAAGAAGCAAATAACCAATGTTTGTGAACTTTCTGAGAGTTACAGGTACAAGGAGTTTTTAACTCCCAAAACTACCAATGCAAATCGTTGTTAAGACGAGTCTTCTTGAAGTTTTACTTATGGCTTGACACAATTTGAGTGGAGGGAGGGTCAAATATATGATACACGAGAAGTCTAGCATATCGAGTCTATCGACAACTAAGTATCAATATAGCTCTTAAATTCTGCCAGTTTCTGAGAGAATCCTCTCAATCTCTTCTAGTAGGCGTTCTTTTTCATATGTCAAGTCCTCATTCTGCTTCTGAAGATCCTCTAGCTGCTTTGTCTGCTCAGAATCCTTCCTGCATTCAGTATCAAGCACTTGGTCCATAAATCTTAATAGTTCGGAAAAATCGAAAGCAATAGATGAGATAAATGAAGCCAATATCTGGAAAACTACGTAGTAATCAGAACCAATTAGCTTTTCTCATAGTTGATACATCAGAAGTCTGTCTTCACCAGGTCTTAGAAAACCAAATCACTATTTGACAGAAAAATACTGATAAAACTTCACTCAAAATAAAAATTTTCAGCCACGTGAATGTATTTGCTTTTAGTATGGTCCTGAACGGAAAACAGAAACAATTTATTATGGAAAATTTAATCATCCCAACTTAAAAGCGTTTTTTTTTTTTTTTTTTTGGGGATAGGCATGTTAATAAGCTCAAACACCACTAATTTTCTGCCGAAGCCTATGAGGCTTGTTAATGTAATTGGTCGCATTACCTATTCATAAAGGACAGATTGAGTTTTAGTGACCGCACTTCCTTCTCAAGATTCTCACAACGCTTCAGAACTGATTGCATATCTGATGGAATAGTTGGTGTCATATTTCTCTCCTTTGCCTCAGCCATTCTGCAGTACCAGTGTATGAGAATTAGTTAAGAGTTGAAATTTTCAAACAGTTAAAAGTATAGAAAAACTTGTCCCTTTCCCCCAAGTGAGTAAAAATTAACTTTGCATCTTATCAATTATAACAAATTGAATTCTTGCAATGTTTGTTCACGCAGATTGATAGGCAGACTGCAAGCATCAATAAGCAAGAGCATGTGCGTTGCTCTAGTTTCATAATAATATGCGCTTTATTAAGCCCAATTACACTAACAATATTTCTCATCAGTATAAAGCCAGCAAAGGAGACTGAAATTCTAGAAATAAAATGGGAGGAAACCGAATACTGTCCCTCAGTATGAAAAGATGTGTTACATACTTTCGTGATCGCTCCACCCGACGCTTTTTTGTGGGATCCCCTTTGTCCACTGCCAGACTTTTATTGGTTAGAAAAATGGTATGGCTGCACTACTAATCAATTATGACTTTAGAACATCCAATAAAATATTAGGCAACTATACGACTAGAGAGCAATAAAAGTTTAGCATATCATCATTCTTAAAGTAATCCAAGTTTTTTGCGAGTAAGTTGAACCGAGGAAGGAGATTGTAATAGTGGATCTCTAGATGATACTAGATAGAAGACTACATCAGTCGTAGCAAAATAGAATTCATTTAGAATGATTCATTAAGACTCATTTGTTCATCATCTGAGGTGTATAACAGGACACGCATTGGTATATACCATTGTAGTTTATAACATAAGTAAATTACCTGAAGCAGCTGATGTTACAGACCCATAACGAACTAGGTGCCCCCTCTGCAATAAATACCAAAATAGAGCAAAAGGAACTCATTCTGACTATAAGCTTGTAGGTAAAATAGCTTATTTATAAAGGTTTCTACCATATTGAAAAAGAGCGCACCTTTCTATCGTCTTTTAAATTGTCTATTATTCTTTCTCTGAAATCTGCAGTTCCATAGAATGACACTTGTATTACAAAAAAGGAAAAAGGAAGAAAAAAAAAAGCTTCACTTGTTAATAATAATAAACAAATTGAAATATGTTTAGGTGATACTGTGTACTAATCAATGTGGCCAAGTGACTTCAACTTTTTCGCCATTCCTGAAATTGGAGGGGTCGTACTAGTATTGTACAAAGCTATCATACTCAGTGACTTGACTTTGTGAGGCTTCTACAAATGCATACTGTCTTGTTCATGGAACGGCATAAGATAATTGATGGATCCATAAGCAAACTAAACTTAGGAAAATTTCCATTCACTCATGACTTGAAACATATATAATTCCACTACAATTGAAGAAATCATCTGATGACAACCGCATATAAGGCAATGAATGATTTATATGACTAGGCTGCCAAATATGTCTACTATTCAGAAATCAAGAACCTTCTTAATCATAGGCATGAACTAAAGGGAAAATCTAAATTTATCACTAGATATGCATCCATGTACTAGACCAATGAGGTAAGATTTCAGATCACGGACGACAGATAACACAACAGTAAGTTTATTACTTTATCATTGGACAGATTGACTACCTTTAGATCGAGATCCATTTTCCAAATTCCGACTACCTCCAACTTGTTTCCTTGAGCTCTCACCATTGCTATGAGTTTGAGTTGAGTTGCTAGGACCATCACATGCCTCAAACCCAGATGAAACCACTGCTGCTGCAGCAGAAGATTCACTTTGAGAAGGTTCTTGAGAAACTCTGCCCAACTGAATAGGATTTATGGGATTAACAAAAGCTTCGAAACCAAGATCTGCTGATTCCTCAACCGTTTGTAAGATTCTATAATCCTCGACTTGAACAGGAGATAATTCCTGAAGAGTGTTTGGTATTTGATGTATATAATTGTCACTACTTCTATTGAAACTAAGGTTGCCAATATTTTCATGAGCGAAAAAATGTGCGTTTGTACTGTCCTCCAGCATCTCTTTATCAATCTGGTTACTTAGCTTCTTTCGTTCTAATGTGCCCTTTAGCATGTTCACAACAGAAGAAATTTTATCTACATCATACTTGTTAGGAGCATTGAACATTGATGACGATGAATTGGATGGGGATGCAAATGTTACAGGCTGGTTGGGAACCTCACGAGTGGAAAGGTTACCGAAACTGTGTGAATTTGCAACATCTTGTTTCATCGAGTTGACTCCATGCCCCGACAAGTCATACATGGACTCAATACCGAATGGGCTTTGGATGCCTTGCGTTGCAGCATACCTCCTCCTAGAAACCAATCAATAAATAGAGTATTGAAAAATAGACAATTATAAGTTCATCCACATAATTGACACTGCATAAGTCTTGACAAAAGGAAATGTCAAATATATAGATTTTAGTTCTTAAATGCAACCATAAATGACGCTAGAGTATAAAAGCTGCAATGAATAATTCGAAAGGGATAAATTTCTGGTAAGGAAAACACCATGAAATAATCTGAAAGCTTAGGGTACGTTTAGTTGGTAATCAGAAAACAAAAATTTGAAAACAAGGGATTCAATGAAAACCAGAGTTGTATTATTTGTTTTCAGTGTTTTTAGATATGTGTTTGGTAGTAGATTTGGTAACTATTGAATCTCAATTTAAAAAATTGTTCAATGTGTGTTTAGCAATATATTAGTAAACCAGAAGTATACCAATTAAATTTTAGTTTAATCTAAACTTATATTAATAAATTTATTAACCTTTATTTATGAATTTTGTATAATTATTATTTTACAAAGGTTATATAATTTAGAATACATTATATTTTACATGTTTTAATTTTAACAAACATAAAATGAGTTTATAATATGAAGGAATATATTTTATCAAAATTTTTATCATTTTTGATGTAATTTTGCATCTTAAAAATTTCAAATTCTGAATATGAAAAAACTGAAAACATAAAAAAGTCGTTTTCAGAATTTCTACTATTTGGATCACAAAATCCGAAAACAGTTTTCAAAAACGAATTTCAAAATCCTAACAAACGCGTATTCGATGAATCCATTTGATTCAGTGAATCTGAAAACAAAAAACAGAATCCGAGTTTCCAACCAAACGGGCCCTTAGCTTTTCCAGTGCTTTAAAGAAAGACAATTAGATTGTAGAAAATCATAAAAGCATCCCTGTATGTAAACTTTCAATATCGTCATGATGGAAGACTAATCCACTCTATCATTACCTTAGCTCAGATGATCTACTTCTTGTCATAGGTTGAGAACTATGAAACCACGCCTGCATAAAATATAGATGTTAAAAAGTTGTGATGCTTTATTAGCTAAGCTAAAGTTTTGAGGTGAAGATAAACAAACCTTAGCAAGATATAGGTTACTACCTGGCACTTCACTTTCAACAATATTCCTGGAAGAAGTTCAAAAAGTTAAAACATAAAAGTCTTCCAACAGAAAAAGGGAGGATGCTGAAACTTTTATGTTCTTTTAACCTTTTTCCAATGTAAGCTAACATTGACACAACAATTTTGAGGTACAAGAAAACTCCATTGAAAGGATAAGAATACCAATAGCACAAGAGCTGTGGTTCAAAAAGTTAAAGAGACCTGAATGCTTGTTGATCGACTCCTGAAACATCATCAGCCACGGAAGCATTTTGTGGATGTAAAATATCATTGCTTATTCTTTTTTGATGCTTTCCCACATGCTGAGGACTAGACAGGTCAACAATCTCAGAGGAAATCCTGAAAAAGGAACGATAATAATGATAAATAAAAAGACTTAAGTACTAAAAATGTCTGAACACGTGGTTTGTGCAAGGGTATGTAAGCTCCCCTTTCAAGGACACTCTTTTAAAGCTTGAATTGTGCAACTTAATTGTCATCATAATTTGATAGACAACTACACTTGAAAAATGAAACAGCTATAACAGAGCCGTGAATGTGGGTGGGTAGGTGTACTATATTCAAGGAAAAAACATTTTCCACTGGTACGAAAAATTTGCCGCAAAGTTATTTAAGACTACAAATAATGGCCAATACTTGAGAAGATAACATAGACATGGAATGATCACATATTACTTTTATTTACATATACTTATTCTTCATAATTCTTTATCTAAACTGTATGACAGTCTCAACTTGCATAGTTTCTTCCATCTGAAAAATGGAAATCAAAAGAGAACTGTTTTACACTTTTTCTCTTGAAAATATATGAACAAAACCCTAATAAGCAATTGGAGCCCGAACCCTTTCTCCCAGACTATAAACTGTTGAGATGTGTATACGTACTATGTTCTTAGTGCAAATTTTACAAAGATTAAAGTTATATAAAAGTTTAACAATGTTAATTTGCACTATTTGGAACTCTCGCTTTCCTTCTGATTTTATATTTAGAACTCATATTTTGGTGAGTTTATCTCATTCGATCCCCAAAAAAAAAAAAAAAAATCCATGTATCTGAGTCTGTTGAACTCCATATCCAACAGATCTACCAAATTTGCACAGTTCAAAGTGCCAGGTGAATCCAATTATAACCATCCATGATGCATAAACGAGTCCATGTAAATCATTATACAGGTCAGCCGCAACCATAGAGATAAAAGGAAGTTCTACTCATTGTCCAAAACGAAAAGACAAGGCATCTGACATATTCACCTCGACAGCCTTTTATTGGTGTACTAATTTAACATACCAACCTTCTTGACGCCTGTCGAGTGCGATAAGCTGGGCCTGATGAGTTGTTAAAATTCTGAAAAAGTAAATAGACCAACAAAAATATTCATACTAGTTCCCAAAATATGGATGCTTTATCTTTAGTCAAGAAAAAATATCTATCAAGTATAATAAAAACGATATAGAAATGTTAGTGTGTTATACTTACAACGACAAACTATAATGTTTTCTTACTCAACGGTTGCAAATATTGTTCCAGCTTATCAATGATATGCAAATAAATTGAAGTAAATTGTCTGAAGACAGACAGCAATACTCCATTGATTGAAGAAAAAATTTTACATCATAATCATCATGAATAATAATCTGTCAAGATTCGAAGTTACATAGATGCATTTCCATTACACTAGGAAGTCTAAACATGAAGTCACATCAAGAATCAATTATCCAATAGCTCATTTTGGGTTTTTGACACATGAAACATCACAAATATGATCTTCAAAATGAAAAGTTTGCTCATTCATGCCACTAGAGTATCTAGTATTGTCTAATTCCTTAAGAACTGCAAAAAAGTGAAGGTGATGAAAGATCTATTTTATACTTTTATTAACTCTCAGAAGCTTTTCATCAGAGCGTAGAGTGTCTGCAAAATAAGGATTAAAGAAAGAGAGAGAGAGAGACGTTGTAAATAGAGGAGTCCTATCTTGATAACAAAATTCTTTTCTTGCAAGAAAAGTTCAGCTAGAGAGTTGCATAGATTTCTCAGGGCAGGTTTATGGTCACGTTTGGAGATAGGCATCTTAACCAGTTGAGCTACGCTCAGGTTGGTTTATGGTCACGTTATTGCAGCATATTTTTCCATATTCAAGATCCTCCATGAATCCTGTCTTCAAAACACTAGTGCACACCACAAATGTATGAAGAAGGTGAAATTTACTAAAATGTCATTCTTAAAATGTGCATAATGAGCACAAACAGAGAAATATTGATATATCACTGTTATATAAGATATAATCCAAGAGGCAAATGAGCTGGTAGCATAGAGCATAACAAGGCAGAAGCCCTCAAGCATACAATCTGAATCTGCTGTTTTGTCTCGTTTTGATGAGGTTGCTTTTGTATGAAACTTTGTTTTATAGTGTGAACAGGGCAAACTATAATTGAGAGCCCTTCCATTTGGTAAAGTTTTTTCAGAGGAAATATTATCATTGGTACTTACTAGTCTTTTTTTTTAATAGGAAAAGACACTGCATTAATGTGACCATATACGAAAAGACACCATCCAGGGGGATTAACCAATCTATTATCATTTCCATTACCGTTCATTGAACCCAGTAAGGCTTGATAAACCTAAGCATAATATCAGCAAGTCTCAGCAGTTCTTTAACAAATTAATGCTTGATATTTATTTTCAACCAGATGTAAACAAAGCAAAAAGGGTAATAGAGCTGCTTGCCTCTCCATTTGTTAGCCAGCTTTTGAAGAGTTCCTCACTATCTGTACGGAAGCCCTGAGAAAGATTCTTAAATCCCATCATCTCCATGGTTGGTGTCGACATTCCGATTGAGTTTTCCACCCAAGATTTAAGAAATAGCTCTTCACTTGTGTTTCTATACAATTCGGATACCCCCCTTCCTTCCATCTTTATAACAATATCTACTCCAATCTTTGGATCATTTCAAGACTGAAACTGAAAGAGGCCAAGATTCTATATCTAAATGCTGGTCTTAGAAAAGAATCATACGCAGAGGTTAACCTTCGAAATTCTCAAATTCAAAAAGAATCAAAAACCACAACTAGAGACAGGCTACTCTTTTTGCCGTTAAATAATTCTTTCCAAGATGTTTCAACTCTGTCTTCCCATAAGAGTAACTGGAGGCTCTTCAAGCCCGTGGAATCTGATATCCTCAGAAGAATCACGACACTTGAAACTATAAGTTAGAGATCAAAAACCCGAAAAGGAGTGTTTGTTCGACCAAAAAGTTATGATTGAACATATCTCCACAATAGCGGTAAGGAAAATAAGAACTTCCCCAAAAGCCTGTCAAACCAAAACCATTGACTTCACATGAACTTGAGAGTTAACAACCATACTCCAAAACACCGTCCAAGCAATATCACGACCAGATGGTCAAGAAAAAACTTTAAAACTAAAAGCAGACGTATTCAAAATATTTGTGTCATATGCTGCAAAAGGATATATTATTGCACCCATTCAAACTTCCCAATCAAATGGTAGGCACATAGATATGATATAAAAAAGATTGAGGCATCAATTAATATTGGGGTTTTGTTGAAGATTCCAATGTCATTGTTTTGTCTTTTTACATCTATAGTAAGACATAATTTCTTCCCTTATTGCGCGTAGTTGTAATTGAAAAGCTATGTCCAATATAAAAGCCCTCAATCAACCAAGCAGAGTGGACTTATTCAATCAACAAAATTAAAAAATCAAAAAGAATAATGAAGAAATTTAGAATTCTTACGAGATAGAGCCAGCTCGTGATAGCGACTTGAAAAGGGCCAATAGCAAGTGTCTCTATATTCAAATATGAAGCCGTTGAGATGGCGTTTTCATGGATTAGCGTAGGCTGCAGTTGGAGGATCAGAAAGAAGCCAACCCGTTCGATCGGCGAGCGAATTACGCGGTTTCTGGTTCAGATTCTTCTCGTCGTCCTCTGATCGAGGTTTTGTAGGTTTCATTGTGATTTTTTTAAAAAAAATAATTTCAACACCTCTTTTTCCTCCTCGAATAGAATGTTGCCGGATAGAGGAAATCTTGGCTTTCGTTTTCAGTCGTGTAAACAGTTGATGAGTTGAAGCCATGGCGGCAAGAGAAGCTTTGAATAAAAATAGCGATGGAAGCTCGAGGAACCAACAATGGAGGCCTCACTCGCATAGTCCACATGGTTACAACTGTCTCTTCCACTCGCAGCGTCTCAAAAAGAAAAATGAATTTTTTCTTTTTTTTGATAAATAAAGAAAAATGAATTAAAAAATAGATTTTTTTAAAATAAAAAATAGACATTTACATAAATACCATAAAAAATCATGTGTAATTTTTTTTTAGAATATGTCAATTACCATTATGCTCGCCTTCGCAAACACATATGTATTTTTAAACCTAACCTCACATTTTAAATTTTACAAAATAGTATAATCTAAATTTAATGTAATATAAAATATATTAAATAAAGTGATACTGTTGTATTTTAAAAAATGAAAATTGTGATCATCTTGAAAATACATTTTACACTTTATGTTATAGAAGTTTCTGGGTATTTTGTCTTAAAACTCGTAATTTTGTAAATAGTAAACATTAATGTGAGGTTATTCAGACTTGTTAAATGAAAGTGAATTTCTTTTTTAATAACTCTAAATCCAATAAACTACAGACCTTGGCTATTGTAATGAGTAGTTGGACTTTACGTGGAGATATAAATTGGATCAAGTTCAAGTAAATAGCCTAAACAGTCTAGTACATGGATTAAGTTGGATACTTTTTCCTGGAGACAATATTAAATACGACCCGCTTTATGATTGTTACAAATGTTGTAAGGTGTCATAAACAAAGTGATCCTGATTCGTTCATGTAGAAACATGTGAGCGGGGGTGTTCTACACAATGAGATTGTGTAAGGCTGACCCTGAAATAATCAATGTTACGCATTAACACCGTTTACGGATAACACTGATTAATATCGTTTATCGATGACCTAGATAACTTGATTTAAATCCTGAGTCATCTATGAACTCCTATTTATTCAGGATTCTCCCTTGATCTGCATAGGTGCGACTAAGCTCATCAGCGCTGCTCGATATGTCTCCCATTTCAGGGATAAAATTGGGTAGATAGCTGGGGACATAGAATTTGCAAGACGGAACTCACTCCTACCCAATTTAGGGATAGTCGAGAGGCTGTTCCCTTAAGGGCAGCCTCATCCTCTCACTGGCATTAGAGGAATTGGATTTCGTGATTTGATCATAAATCAATTGTTCATTAGAGGGATAGTGGTACTTAAGGAGAAAAGATGTAACTCAGGGATAAAACGGTTTTTTGACCAATCTGAGGTTACGAACGGCCTGTGAAAGATCAACTTATCGATGACAGTTATATCAAATGAACACAAATATATCTACAGTGAAGTGCATCTACAGGCTATAGTGGACAGTCATGTTAGTTAACGAATGTTGATTAACTAAATTAAAGAGTTTGACCGATTAGTCTCGAATCGTTGGAGCCCATGATCTGTAGGTCCATCGAGTCTCCATGTTAGCTCATAAAGGATAAAATTGATGAATTAGGTGAAGTAAGAATTTGAATTGTTCAAATTCTGTTTTGGGAATATTGTATTTTATATGAGATATAATATATAATTGAATAATTAATTGAGAATTAATTATTATGGAAAGTATGACTTATTTAAATTAGCTTTAAATAAGTTTAAAGCATGAAAAAATGTTGTAATTTGATTAATGTGATTAATCAAGCTTAGGTGTCAAAGACCTATTAATATGAAATATTAATTTGGCTTGGTTTTTATTTTAATAGAAAATTGATATTTCAATTTTTGGTTTTATAAAAGTTTTATTTAAAAAAATCAAGTTAGTGGGAAAATCCAACTTACTAACTAGTAGTTTTTGAAGTGTTTCTTCAAGGCAATGACACTTATCTTTTACATGTTAGTGGGTTTGAGGTGGAAGGCATGCAAGATTTGTTCTTGCATGCATTTGGTCTTTATATAGGTGATGAAAATCATTTGGAGAAAGGAAGCATAAGTGTAGAATTTTTCCACTCAAATTTCTATTGTAACCATTAGTACTTTCCCTTTGCTTTCACTCACAATTCGATCCCACAATCATGTTCATCAACCCGAAAATAGCACAGATTTGCCGTGGTGGTCCTATTGAGTTGGAGAAGAAGTTATAATAGAGATCTTCAAAGGTATAAAGTTAATCACTTCCTCTTTACCTTTTTCATTATATTTTCCAGCATGCTTATTTTAGTTAAATTGCTTCATTAAGTGTATTATGATCTTTAGTTTCTTCTGTGCATGTCTAAAGTTCCATCAATTTCCATGTAGTTTAACTCTCATTTCAAACTTTAGAGCTGTAATGTGTTAAAATTCATTTGATAAATATTGAATTATTTATTAGATATAATTTCAACGTGAACATAATTCAATTCGAATTTTCCACTCTACATTATTTACACACAAAAAAACACTTTAACTAAAAATGAATATATATTTGTACTATATTAAAAGTCAATAATCTTTGTAAAATATTTTAAGACCATATTATCCCTTTTATGTTTACATAATTACAAATACATCACTTTCGTGTAGACTATCTTACCCTTCAAGTTAAGATTATTTGTTAATTTGTAAATATATATGACAAGAATCTTACCAGATGTGTCAACAAAAATATTTAAAATTATATTTTTAGTATAATAAATGTGGAGATCGGAAATTGAATTTCTAAATATTTGGAAAACGAGCAAAATGATATAACGTGGAGTTATGCTCACGTTAACACAATTAAAATTAAATTGTTTGGTATATTTCACTATAATGTTATCTAATAGATATTATTTCAAGTATATAGGGAAGATTTGAACCTACCTCCGTTGAAATTATTATGTTTAAATTGGTATTTATTTTATGTATCAAATTATCGTATGCTAATTGAATCAACCTATGATATTAATATTTAAGTAACAACATTAATTGGGATTATTAATTAGAATCAAAATCATAATTGAGGTCAATAAACTTAATAGCCAATAGCCATCATCGTCACAATTATTTATAATATATATAAAAGGCCGTCGCCTCTCTTTCATTCTTATTGTAGAATTATAATTTTGTGACGTGATTGATTAGCTCACTCTCATTTAAAATATCAATAATTTGTAAAAGGTTAATTTTGTCATTTCGTTTCAGACGAGGGATCTATGATTATGTGGAATTATTGACCTAATATATTTATCATATAATTAAATAATATTTTGTTCCTTATACTTTCTACTTTGATTTATTTTGGTCAATACACTTTTGAAAGGTGAATTTCGATCATTTTAAAAAGTATCCATATTAATCAATTTATTTTTATTTTATATCGTTTTTTTCTATCCTGATTTTAGTATGATACTTCATTCAATAAATTTTTTAAGACATATATTTGTATTAAAAGATTTTTATTGTGTATAAATTTTGTAGACAGAGATCATATTAGTTTCTTTTTAAAAGTACACGTACGAAAACAAAGCGTGTTAATTGTAAAAAACTAAAATTAATAAAAGTTTAAAATACAAGCATCAAAATAAATATTTTGAAATTGGAGGAATAAATTCAAAAGTTTAAGAATCAAAATAGCATTTAAATCTTAAAAATAATTAAATTTTGATCAGATGGAATGGTTTGAAGATAATTATAAATTTACGAGGTAATATATTGGAAGCAACAAATGTCATTAAATTTATGATTACTATATAAAATTTCAACCAAGCAATGATTTAATATTGGTGATGCATTTTCATTTGCTTGTAATTTATTTGATCTTAGCCAAATCAAATTTCAAGTAAAAGAAAATAAAAATAACTGTTTGCTATAAAGACGATGTAGCACTTCATTATCCTCCATTAATGAAGTTAAAAAGGTTTCGCACAAGTTTTATTTTCGTCTGGGATCAAGACAATTAAAGAAAGGATTTTAAATTTTATGACTTGAAAATCTGATAAATAATTTTAAATGATTTATTTTTGTGTAGAATAAGAATAGTTTGAAAGGAACATAAACTTCTCCATTTGAATGTTCACAGGAAAGAAAATGAAAATAAAAAGTTACTAATACGAGCTTTATCTTAATCCAGGTTAATTTATAAAAATATCCCTATCCTTTCAAAAATTTCAATACTACTATTGATCTTTCATAGACATTTAAAAAATACATTTTGAGAAAATATTTGTTGATATCTTAAATAAAAAGTCAACGTGACAAAATTTGAAATGCGTAACAATTAACAAGGAGATTTATGAAAAAGGAGGAAATATAGAAAAATAAAGCTATGAAATATACACTGACAATACAAAATATGATTCAATGCCAATTTTTCTTTTCTCAGAATGCTCATTTGAAAATGTCAAACAAAAAAGGTACAAATTCACAATACCTTTTACTTGAGTAGAGAAGTTTTGATACCTAAAGGTATTTCTGATTTCCACTCACCATGAATTGCATACATAAGATTCTACATGTAAATCATATAAATCAAGGGCCTAAAGAAAGGTCTACCGAAACGCCGAAAACTAGTATATCTCGTCGTCGGGGACATCTGGTGTCAAAAATTTTCTGGGATCTTTACTAATTTCTTCATAATTTAAACTTGCCTTCACTCTTTCTGGCACTGGCATGAGAGGTATAATGCTATCTTTGTCAATAACTCCATCAATCAATCCATATTCAACCGCCTCTATGGGCGACATATAACGATCCCTATCAATATCTTTTTGGACTTTATCAAACGGATGGCCAGTGAATTCGGAGATAATTCTCGTTACGTTGTTCTTGTTATGCATGATTTCACGTGCTTGAATTTCCACATCTATTGCTTGACCACTCGCCCCTCCAAGAGGTTGATGAACCATAATACGTGCATTAGGCATTGCGAGACGCTTGCCTTTAGTGCCACCGCCGAGGATTATGGAAGCTGTTGAGGCTGCAATGCCTAGTCCAATTGTGGAGACATCAGCCCTCACGAGCTGTACGACATCGTAGATTGCCATTGTAGCACTAACGGAAATGACATTAATAAAAGGAAATCAGTCCGAACAACAAATATTATGCAAAAATGCTAACGAATTTGATGCAAAAATACATGACATCAGGTGGTCGCTCATTGAAGGCTGAATGAGCAAAAAATACATGTTTAAAAAAGCATATTCAATCAATATTTCCAGCTTCAAATAAATAATGACAATAAAATTCTTTTTTCCTTTTCATAAGAAAGAATATGTATTGAAAAATGGAGAAAAGGAAAGGAACAACAGGGACGTGGAAGCCCCTCCTGTAAGAAGACGTATTAGTTTGTACACTTTCACAAAAGACATCAAAAGGACGAGCCGTGTTGTTGAAGACTCGTTGATTTTTTCCCTTCCAAATGCTCAAAAAAATATTACTAGTACCAGAACTCATACCCCAAAGGATTTTAGCTTGTCCTTTCAAAAACCACCCCTGAAGCACCTCGAGAACCGAAACATCCATATACTCATAATAGTGACACTCCCGGTTTTTAAATTTTTAGTCCTTGAAGTCAGAGAAAACAAAGAGAACCATGTACTCTAGTCTCCCCTCTGCCCCTGGCCTGATCTAGGCTAAATGTGTTGGTTTTGTTAGAAAAAAGATTTGCTTTCTAAGCTGGGAAACAGGCTTAGAATTAGATTCTAGGAAGATAACTGGTTTATGATCTTCAACAATATTTACACCGTTGCTAATACAAAAGGAGTGGTAGTAAGTGATTGCTCGAAAGAAAACACCCAAGCTAGGGACATTGGGCTGATAAAGAATCTGCCTGGTAGAGAATTGGGAGACTGGGCTCAGTTTACTGCACAGTTGAAAGATGTGTTCCTAAATCAAAACGAGGATAAATTGATGTGGCACTTAAAAACATAACCTTTTCTGACAAAAGAACCGACCTAGGCAGAGTACATCTTCTGCTTACACTTCTCACATTCATCCTTATGTAGTTAAATAGCAATATACATTTAACAGCTTACGATTAGAGTTGTAAAAGGTGGGAAACTCTCAGGTATGGTCCTAAGGGAACGAATTTACCTAAAAGTAGTTGTGCATCAAAGATGGGGAGAAAAATCAGGAAAAGATCATCCATTAGCCACATAAATATTAATTTACTCAAGAAGATATCCTAACGTACAAAGAGGCCAGCAAACCATGGAAACAAGAATAAAACGGAGATTAAATAAATAATCAGGGAAGGAAGATATGTATGTGTTCCCACAGTTTGCTAATCTTTCCATTCATGTAGAGACATAGAGTAGATGAGTACATTCATTTCCAGACAGTAAAAAGTCTTCAAATATCTCCGGTGGTGGCCCAAAAGGCACATCCCCTCTCCAAAGGAGAGAAGAATATGAAAGAGACAACAGTTCTTTTTTGAAATTTGAATAGAGATATTGAGTTCTGATTCCAATGGTTGTAAGTGATTGGTTGCATCATTACATGTAGATCACATGATTCAAGATATTTTGTACTGCTGTAGCACTAAGTTTGATCCAGAGCAAAGTAAACTTGATACAAATAGAATAAAGTTCTCTATTAGTATGGAGATTATTTGAAAACATACATTCTGAATTTATAGGGAATTATCCGTGTGTTTAGACACTTATGACTCACCTACGTATCAATTTTTTTTCGTGACGCCAAGAAACACATTCAAAAGATACCAGGCAAATAGACCCATCACAGCCATACTTTAGTAATTACGGAAGCTTGGGTATCTTCACACTTCCCCCACCTCTATGCATTTGCCACTGAGAATGTAATAGGGAAAGAACAAGAAATATGGATGTTTATTTATTTTTTTAAAATATTCTGATTTGGCGAATGTGCTTGCTCTTTTTGGAGTGTTAGTCTAGTCCTTGCCCTATGAGTATTTATTTAGGAAATTGGTCATTATAGAGATTGGGATTCTTCGCATGTAAATCCGTTGTGGAACATATTGCTTATAAATTCCCATTATAAATTTTGTTGACATGATTCACAAGGTTTCAACCATTAGGTTAACCTCTCTTAGGAAGACCGATACCAATGGATTGTGTGCCAGACATCCATGATAGTATCTTGACTCAAAAAGGTGACTCATGGGAAAATTTTGAAGAATATATTGTTCTTTTTTCTTGAGCAGGGTGATTAATCATTGGATATCTTTGAGTTTAATTGACTTTTAGGAGAATGAAAGACTTCTTGGAAGATATAATAAGAAGCTATAGTGCTAAGGAAACATCTAAAATCATTTTTTTATAGGAACCAAGAATTGAATTCAGCACAAGAAAGAAGCAACCAACCTAGGGGCCGGGGTAGAGAAAACCTCTGCCCAAGGATCTGCATAAAAAGCAAAGCCTTCCCATCGTTGCTAATCAAGTGAATACTATAGTTACAAAAGAATTTTTTGTGGTTTGAATACCATCTAGAGGTTTGCCGTACACTATTACAAAAAGAATCCACTGGAGTTGCCTCATCTTCAAAAATTATTTGGTTTCTCTCTCCCTTCAAGAAGCCAAAGAGTAGCTCTTTCCCCACAATTACACATCTAAAATCATTAAATCTGCCTCAATGATATTCCAATTTGTAGATATTGAATGGAAAGAAATACCTCTAGAATCATTTTTGTAGCTTTTATATAATCTTTGTGAGCTAAAGTGTCTTATAGGTTTCTGTTCTTCTTTACTTTAAAATCAAGATAAACTAGAGAGGTTTCTTCCAAATCTGCCATTGTCCTTTTGTAAGGCTGGGATACCCATCTTGTCCTACAACTTTCTAAGCCAAAGTACCCCCAATCTAGGTTTATCAAAGAAGCCTTGTAATCACAAAATTCTTGGAGAGAACTCCACGTAGTTGCACTAAACTATACAGTCTCAAAAAAACATCAAAGCATATACCTATCTTAAAAAATTCTGTTGTTACTTTCCTTCTAAATATACATACCACAGCAAAGCTCCAGAAGCATTTGCCAACAAAATTCTGGCTTTTTGCAAAAACACCAACAAGAGAGAATTTCATGCTACTAAGTGTTTATATCTTTAGAATAGCACCAACAAAACCAAACGTCTGAGAGTAAGCTCCATCCCTTTTACAATTGATAAACAAATGATCCATGGTTTCTTCATTAGATAAGCAGACAGGTCAAACAGAAGGATATAAAGCCATGGAAGGAATCCAATCACAAGTGTTTAGACTCTTGTAAGCCATATTTCAAAGGAAGAACAAAGTCTTTTAAGGATTGTTTCCTCCCAAATCAAAGAAGAAATGGTTTCTCCGACCTGCCTTCTCTACTATTAAGCTGAAGGTTGGCAGATTTGCAAGGAAACAGCCCAAAGCATTCAAACTTTCAACAAAATTATCTTCACCATGATTTAGCCGATTGCTTTCCATCTTTCAGAATAAAGATTAACCATTCCTCCGGCTCTTTATCAAAAAGATTTCTCCTGAGCTGAAAATCCAAATTTGGACTGTCTCTTCCAAAAATTTCCCCAATAAAAAAACAACAAAAAAAAAGTCACCAGAATTTGAAATTGAGAAAATATTTAGAGAATATGGCTTGGACAAGAAGGATCAAGCCAAGCGTCTGTCCAAAATTTAATCCTCAGACCATCACCAAACTTTAAGAAGACACAGTGGTCAAAGAAATCCATTGTTTTAGCAATGTCGAATCTTGGACCAATGAATTGAGCTTCTCCAAAGGTTGCCAATCCCATATTTACTCTTGATTATGCTTCTTCAAAGGGCGTTCTTTCTATGCACTAATATGCACATCCACCTTGAGAGGATGGCGGTGTCTCTAGTCCTCACATTTACCAACTCCTATGCCACCCAAGGAAATAAGAGCACAAGCCCAGTTCCATCTAACAAGGTAGACTAACTCTCATGCAATCAGTTCCTTCCAATTTTAAATATGTTTACATAACTGTAACAGACTTAAATTTACAGTGACCTGACTCGTCACCGGACTACATACACCCACCCGTAGGCTAACTGTTTGCGGTACAGGTGAAGATGGTGAGATCTTTATATAGGATTGCGAGAAGCAGAGTTCAACTATCCGTCTCTTGCATTCAGCGCTAAGGAAAGCATATTAACTCATTCTATATGAAACTTGGGCACAACATCCATATTCATAGAAGTTCAATTATCCAACTGATTTGGAAAAAAATAAAGAAAAACCTGAATCTCATATTCCATATCTTCACAAACAAAATTATGCACCAAAAATCAGCCCGTGCATACCTGAGAGAGCCGCCGGGGGAATTAATGAAGAGCCTGATATCTTTGGTAGAGTCCTGAGCATCCAATAGCAAGAGCTGGCTGATAATAGCATCGGCCACAAAGTCATCGATGCTATTCCCTAAGAAGACGATCCTCTCCCTGAGAAGCAGTCCCATGGCGTCAGTCTCGGCGCCTCTCCGGGCGACATCCGGCGTCTGTGGAGCCGTCATGAGGACGGAGCACGGCGAAGCTAGAGTTCTCGAGGGTTTAAGAGCGGTTGCCTTGAGGACTGAGCAAGCGGAAGGAAAAGAGAGACTGGATTTGAGCTTGGGATAGAAATTGGATGGCTTTGGATGAGAATTAGGAAGGCTGAGGGAAGATGCGTGAGGAATGAGAGTAGAACATCGTGAAAGAAGCTCCATGGATTTACAGCACTGCTCTGCTTCAGCTCTGAAACCAGGAAGAAGCGGAGAGACGATGGCTTTGGGGGATTTGGTTGGGTGAGCTATACAGGAAAACGTGTAGAAACTTTGGTAATTTCAATAATCCACCCATGTGTTTGTAATAATATTAAAAATGCCCCAAGTTCTTAACTTTCATACCAATAATCCACCCATGTGTTTATGGTAATTACAAAATGTCCCAATTTCTTTTAATTTTCATTTGAGTTAAATTATCACTTTCTCTTTTTTTTCTTTTTAATATAGTAAACTTGAGGATGAGAAATTCAACTAACCTAAAAAAAAAATAATAATGAATAAGATATCTTAACGGTTGAAACTCATGTTGTTAAATTATGAATTTATTCCCTACGACTTTAACCTAATTTTAATGATTCTCGTAGTTTTAAAAATTTCAATTTGATGGTTTGTAGTCAATTTTAACTTAGTCTCTATCATCTTGTTAAACTTCTCAAATCAATCTTATACCGTTTTTTACGAACTAGAAAACTCACCTATTTTTTTTATCTATACTCCGTTCTAAACATTAATATAGTCAACTAAATTAGCTAGTCAAACAAATAAATTGTTGTCAACATGAGCTTAGTTCCTCAACGATTAAAGGATATTGCTCATTCCCCTAAAGATCGAAGGTTTAATTCTTCATCATGCATTTGTTGTATTCGAAATAAATAAATAAATATACAGATAACTCAAAGTGGTGTAGAAACTTGTGAAGAGAGTTAAAGATTCATGAGAAACCTAAGCGTGGATACATAATTTCCATTTTGGAATCAAAACCTAGTTTAATATGAACTTTATATCTTATCATTTATTTACTTTAATTTTGTATAAAAAAATAAAAAAGTAAGGGATCATTCTAATATCTTAATTTTACTCTTAATCTTACTTTTTCGACCATATTACACTTAATATATTTGAATAAATAGTTTATATGGGTATAATTTATATTAAAATTTTTGAAAACAGGTTTAAAAATGTATTTGGGAGTGATTTTGATCAAAATAATTTTTGTCATTGTCAAAATTATTTTCCTTCCCAATAATATTATTAATCAATTAAAAAATGGATTTTAAGAAAGCTTTTTCTGGAACCAATTTTAAGATAATTTAAAATCATTTTAAATTAATCAAATTATCTGGATAATTTTAAAAATCAATTATACTTAGATAAAATTGGAAATTACTTCAATACCTGCTCCGAAATAATTAGTTCTAAAAGAAAAATAGTATTTTAACGTTAATTTAAATTATCATTTTTAAATGAAAGAAATAGAAACCCTAGGTCATCTTCCTCTCACCCTCGCGTGTTCTTCCTCACGTCGGCTCCCCCCACCATTTTAGCAGCTCACTGCCGTTTGTGATGTGCTTACTGTAACTGTCCGGCGATTAAGATCCCGATACTGATTCGTGGTAATTAAGGTGAACGACGTCATTTTCTGTTTGTTGATAGATTTTTCTTTTTTGATTTTCGCTAAGGTTTTTGGCTGATGGATTTTTTCGTGTTGATTTGCTTCCTAGGTATTTAAAGAACCACGAGCTCAAACAGAAGGATTTGAATCGCAGCCATTGTAGAAAATGAAGGCACTCTTCCTTCTCTAATCTTGATGCTCAAATTACAAACCCCGACCCATGTCGCTTGAAATTTAGTTGAGCTTGGTTTTCTCTACGCAGTGCTTTCGTTAAAGGGAATCAAATTACTGTTTCTACTTCTGGTCGTATTTTTAGGCGTATTTTTGAATCACAGCTGATTCTGAAACTACAAGAGAGAGTCGATAATGGCGTTTAGAGGAAAGGAAATGATGAAGAAGGTATTGAAGAAAGTTGGAGAGATCAATCTGGCGCCTGGAGTGAAGGAATCGCTGAAGAAATGTATACCGGACAGCAAAGTGGTGATGAACAGGGCAAAGCGTGGTATTTTCGCCGGCCGTCACATCCAGTTCGGTAACCGCGTCAGTGAAGACGGTGGTAACAAGTATGAACCTCGCAATCCTTTTTCTTTTTCGAAATCTTTGGTCGATTCAGATTCTCTCCGAGTTTGGATGCACATCAATGATTTTCCAGATTATATGGTGTTAGGCTGTCAGTCCGTTATAATTGATTAGCTTGATCTTTAGTTTGATGATCTTAAGTAAAGACGCCCTAAATAAATCTATTGCACTCTGAATTCTGCTCTGTAACAATGTACTTCGGCAGCAAATTCTCCCAGATACTATTTTGACACTTTGGCTAAATACTCCTACTTTTGATTTTTCTTTTCTACTATGACAAGATTGTTGCTTCTACATTTAGCTGGAGGAGTCCTTGAATCTAATGGGTTTCTGCTCTCCATTCACTTTGTGAATAGCCATGTATAGAAAGATGAATGAATATTCATGATTTAGTGGATCTCTGTGATAGCGAATTATTGCCTTGCCAGTTTAAGGTGATTTTGGTCTGCTTTACTTTTGATGTCTTGTTATGATGGCTGTTCGGATTTGGGTGTGGGGTTAGTACGATTCTGTTGTGCTCTGCCAGGACTCTTCACGGTCCTGCTTGAGTTGTAATTGTTGATATTATTGAATCAAGTGGAGATTTTATTCTGACCATGTCATTTGTTTCCGAGAAATTTTCTTACCCTCTTTTCTATGACTTGAAGATTTGTCTCTATGGGGTTTAATGTTTAGCAACAACACTGCTCTTTTGATCCTCTAGTTAACATTATAGAATCAAGAATCAATATGATGCATAAAGTTCACTGAGAGTGCCCCCCTCTCTTTCAATTTTTAGTTTTGATATCAATCTGTATACGCTTAAAAAATGAACTTTGGTAATTTTGAAAATAGAGAATGAACTTTCAGTTGTGTTTTCTCCTCCACGGGACCTCGATTGCTTTTTGCTGTTTATTTGGAGTCTTTTGATATACAAGTCTAGGGTATGTCACTCTTTCTCTGGTATTCAGAAACTTGAAAGCTTGATATTTTTCTTATATCCATGAGTGGTTTACGCTCACTTCACCTAATCTCACCGAACAATTGTTTAACTCTACAAGATTAAGAGCACAAGATAGTTGTTTCCTTTCTTTTGTGGTTGTTTTATGCTATGCAGTGGTACAATGCCATTTTCAATTCTTTTGCTCGCAGACCTTCATATTGGCTTGATCTTATACTGTTTCATACTGTCATGCGGAAATTGTTCAATTTTGGAGCATTTAACCCTTTACGTGCTTCTGCTTAATAGGTCAAGGAGGACTTGGAAACCAAATGTCCAAGAGAAGCGACTTTTCAGCTATATTCTAGATCGCCATATACGAGTTAAAGTCACCACTCACGCCCTTCGATGCATTGACAAGGTTGGTGGCATCGATGAGTATCTGCTGAAGACCCCATACCACAAGATGGACACTGAGATAGGGCTGTTTTGGAAGGCAAAGATAACGAAGCTGTATGAAGAACTTGGGCAGATGGAGGTTGTTTTCTTTTCACCCGAGGACGAAGCGAAATTCGAACAGGGCTTTAGAGAACTGAAATTGGCCGAGAGGGCAGCTCGAAAGGAGGCGAGAAGACAGACGTATGGTAGTTCAAGCAATCACGATCAGATCGAAGAGGGACGAGCAGATCGCCATGGAACTGGCAAGGAAGCTGCAGACGGTTCTGAAGGAGGCTCACATGGTGATGATGGTTCTCAGCAATGGGTTGCCAACGCCTGATTATTTATAGGAGACTTTTTTTTTTTTAACTTGGGAGTTCAAAGCTTTGACTCGTTCATTCCCTCTTCCAAGATTTGTTTCATCATTTTTCACTGAAATCTTTTGTAGCTTATTTGTATTTTGTTTAATGTATACAGTTAGAAATGAGAATTGTTTTTGGAAATTGAGATTTTAGAACTTACTGCTTAATAAGATGCAGACTGAACAATTTAGTCTATAATGTTTTGCCATTTTCGTTTCTGTTAAAAGTTCCAAATATATTATTTACTTACAATTTAGTCTATAACTTTCTGTTTGTTTACTTATAATTTTTTTTTTCCGCATATTTTCATCTTTTTTCTAAATCACATTTACATTCTTAGCAAA